TGATCTTTCATTTTCACTGGTTTAGAATATGCTGAGTGCAAACGTTCCATTTCCAATCAAAGTTTTTGAAATGTATTCCTTTTGAAAATTACATTGTTTAGGCTCACCAAAAGACAATATCATTAATTCCATCGTTTAAGAGTGACAAGAATATAAAAGTTACAGTTGGCTTGCTATTTATGATTTCAAGGCGTAAATAGTTTATTCTTGATCGATTCCGCTTTTCACTGATCAAATCTTATCTCCTCTGAAAGTAAATTTGTTTTAGCGGATGATTGCACCCATGTTGAAAGTTATTCTATTCGTTTGTTCAAAATAAAAACAAAGCATTTGCTCAATGTTATAATACTCAATCATCAAATCGAGTTGAAGAAAATAGACAGCTTATTGTCCACTCAAACAGATCTTTTATCAGAACATCTTTAAGTTATTTCCACTAAGCAGTTGAATATAGCAACATGGTTTAACATAGGTTGTTAAAACGGTACCCACCTGCTGATCTCTGAGAGTCAGTTGTGTTGTGGATGAGTACACATTAAATTAATTCTGTCGATTCAACATCAAACCAAACCAACTACCCAATTGTTGAGACGCTCATTGTACAAAAAGAGAGTTTAGGAGTAACACGTTCTTGTTAGATTAGCTTTACACTAAGGCTAGGTCACATTCACTAATTGTAGGAAATTCAATCCGGGGATGGTGAACCCGCAGCCAAAAAGCGCCACACAGAATATTGCTGTGACATCTGCAGCAAGACTTTTGACCACTCAGACAACTTAAAGTATCATAGCAGCGTTCACACCAGAGAGAAACCATTCGAATGCACCCGCTGTTATAAGACGTGTTCAGAAAAATCTGCTCTCAATCGTCACCTGAAAGCCCACAACAAGCAAGTTGCCAAATAAACATTTACTTCCGCAACCTGTGGAGAAACCTTTCATAACCACGCACCATACAACACACATGTTCACACCACTCATCAACAACACAACAAGGAAACAGCCGTAAACGCAGCGCTAAAACTTCAAATGATGCACCAGCTGCAAAAAAATCTAAGAGGATGGCCCAGGCAAGTGCGAATACAGCGTCAGAACCATCAGTCACTCCTCAATCCGCTCCTCAAGTGTCGCCTACTGCTACAGGTTCTAGCTGGGATGTAGATCCAGTTCTTATCCCTCCAAACTTTGTTTCCAGCTCTTACAAAGATGTTGCTAAGACATACTGGCAACACTGGCAACAAATCCGTAACCAATTTAGCTGCCACAACAGACTTCAAGATTGGTACAAATCCGCCGGTCTACCATCAACCCTCCCAGCCTCCGCGAACAACTGAGCCGGGTCTTTGCCGATCAACCCACCGTCTTTAAAATCGACTTGTTGTTTGGTTTTATTCTGCGCAACACCTAAGCGGGTGTCCTCCAGTACCATCACCCCTCTGTCAACAATAATTTGGTGTTGGAACAGCCTTTTATGGTCTTCAATCAAGACGATTTAGAACATTTGTTTGACCATAACCGTCAAACAGGCAAACCCTATAAATACAACCTCTGCTTCTTCCGCTGCCTAGCACTTTACAATGGCTGTCATACTAGGAATCTGGAGAGAGATACCCAGTAGTATTATCAACAGTACCGCGACGCTGGGTTAGGAAAAAAGAAATTTCATGGTGTCAAGATAAGTGAACTGGACGAGTTGGAAAAACTATATGAAGTCAATATCCAAGTCACCAGCCTTGCCCCGACTCAGAAACACGGCGAAGAAGATGATGAGGAAGAAACACCCGAGATAACAGCCACACTTATCCCCCGCTCACACTGCCAGTACTCAAGCAGATGTACTTGAACTTGCATGAAAACCACTTCTCGTATATTAAAGATCTCGCCTGGTGTACCGTACTCAAAATCGTCCTTTTGTTCTCACTGTGGCAAGTACTGGAAAGATATGTGGAAACGCCAGCGTCAGGAGAAGACCTGTGAGAGCAAAGCCCAACTGAAATATCCTGGTGGTACGTACCATGTACCTAAAACAGTGTTTGAAGAACTAGAGGAAGAAGGCATCATCGTCCCTGAAAATGCACGCTGTTTTCCTTACAGAACCACCTTCGATTTTGAATGTTACTTCGATCAAAAAAAAGCTCAAGAATTAAAGAACACTGAAAAGTTAACCTGGCAATCCGCCCATGTGCCTTTGAGTGTGAGTGTATGCAGTAACGTGCCTGGTTATGAAGAACCAAAGTGTTTTGTGTCAGAGGGAGATTCAGACCCACTTCTTGAAGAGTTTGTGCAGTACCTCACCAAAATTAGCACCAAAAGTTCATCCCTGTTACGCCAACGGTACGCAGAAGTCTTTGAAGCGCTTAAGCAGGAATCTGTTCCTAGTCGTGGGGGCACTGAAGATGATCAACTCGCCAAATACTCGTAGACATCCAGGAAGGAAATATAGAGTCTGGCGAAGATAAAAACTGTGAAGAAGAGAGCGAAGATGACAGCAGAGGGATTGA